CACAGGCATCCAACTGCATTTCACCTCCATAGCTATCATCACAGCCTGTGTTTCTCTGGATCAGCTGGTTGTTTAGGGGGTTGGGTGAGTGGTTGGCTCTTCTTGTTTGCCAGCCCACACTCAGGAAGGGGCTGCAGTCTGGCTGTCCTCCTGGTGGTGGTGGCCCATGCATGGCACTGGTTCACACAGAGGGCTTGCTTCTTATGCAGGGAACGTGTTTTTATCACAGGATGAGGACAACACTCCTGCCCTGAACCCGAGTTGCTGGGCAGCCCTCAGCTGGTTCCCATGTGGAGGGCAAAAAGGGAAGGGGAACATGGTCTGCTGTCTTTGGAAACATGCTGAGCAGTTCACATTACAGATGTGCAGTGGAACAGACATAACAGACATCAGAAGACCTACATGGGTTGTTAAGTTCCAAGTGAGAAAAGGTTCTTCTTTGTGCTGGAAAAGATAGTAAGTGAAGCAAAGAAGGGTTGAAACCATGGTAACTGAGAACTGTGCCCGCATGGTTGGCATTAGCTTCACAACTGTGCTCCAGCATCCTGGAAACACAGTGGATGTGCCCCCCACCCTGTAGGAAGGAGAGATAGGGAACAGGCGCCTGTCCCATGCAGACACCTCCTTCTTACCTCCACCAAGCCCCCACGTGCAGTAAATGACCTGCTGCAGAAAAGCACAGAAATAGGTCCTTCCCCAAACAGCCAAGCCCAACTCTGCTCCCCACTGAGCTTCAGAGGCTCGAGGAACCCTGAGGCAGAGATTCTGCTTGTTATGACCCAAGGCTCATTTTCAGGCAGTTTGCCTGCCCCCTCTGCGAGAACAGATGACTAAGAATGATTTAATGCCTTAAAGACCTTAGGAAATAGTGGTAGGGAAGAAGACTAACTCAGGGAGACAGGCCCAGGCTGTGTTGATTAGAAACACTTGTGTTTTTACGTTTGCATGCAAGTTATACGCTCTAAGAAAGAATGTCCTCTTTTTTCTTGCATTGTAACTGCTAATAGCATTCAATTAAAACATGGCTACACTTCAGAAGACATCAGGGTTAGTTTATGAATCAGTTGTTTGGGACCTTGATGAACAGAGAAGCATACTTCAGTGTTACTGGCTTTTAAGGACTCCGATCTGGAGAGCAGGCGGACAGCGTCTCTCCCCATGGCTGGAGCCATCAGCATCAGGCACATGCTAGTGTAAAGTTCCTAACTGTGCTGCATGAAGCAGAGAAACACCTAGAAACAGAAGATGCACGGCCTCATCAGTGACAATTGCTGGAGAAGGTTGCGCTCAAAAAGGATCTTGTAGACAAGGGCAGAGCCCCTATCTGACCAGGAACAAGTGCTTTTGAGAGGTCACTGTGCTGCTTCACAAACATCACCTGACTGTTCATTATTCCTGAAGTTTTCCTCCAGCCAGCTATGGACAGCCACAGTCTGGGGATGGGGGGACCACAGACCCAATGGTAGGAGTTGCTCTCATGCAAAATCTGGAATTCTCAGATGCACAGGCAGGAAGCCTGTTGCTCCAGAGCGCTCTCAGTACAGCGATCAGGGCCAGAAACTTCCAGTATCATTTTCCCCCAATATCACATATATTCATTCAACATTTATTAAAAGAGCCAGGTACCCACTGTGGGCTAGAGACTGTGCCCGGAGCTGAGAGCACACACACGAGGGCAGAGGCAGGGTGCTATGACTGGGATCCACCCAGGGAGCCGGGAAGCAAAGGCACAGTGACTGGCAGGAGAGGCACAGAAGCCCCGGGACATCATGGCACTGTCACCTGCCCAGGGTCGGGAAGGCTTCTCACAGGTGCTGGTGCGCAGTGAGAGGAACAGAAGTGTGTGGCTGAGAAAGGGACTAAAGGTGATTAAGAGTCCGAAGCCTGGGTGCCATGGTCCCGCACTCAGCAGCTGGCCCAGTCATTTCCTAGAGTAAAGCTTCGGTCAAGGCCTGGCCTCCCAGGCCTTGGCTTCCTCCTTGTAAAGTGGGAGGCAGCCGCCCTTCTCATGAAGGGAAGTCAATGAGACCAGAGGGGAAAGTCCTTTTGGGGCAGTGCCAGCCATGGCAGCCTCCCGTGAGAGGTTAACAGCTCTGTTGTCCTTGACTCCTTTACTCCTGTCCTGGGCCAGGACGGCAGTGGCCAAAAGGCACCCTGGGAAGAGACTTTGGGGAGGTGCAGAACTCAGGGAGGCCCTGGCATGTGGATCCTCAAGAGCCCCTGGGTGAGACCAAGGTGCTGGCACGGTGGGTCTTCCTGTGCCTTGGCCTCACCCACCCGCAGAGGAGTTCCCTGACTCATCCTTTTGCCCATCCCTGAGCTCTTCGCCACCTACCAGACTGACTGGGCCTGGGCCCTCCTTCTGCCCTAGCAGCGGGCAAGTGGGAGGACCAGGGGAATTCCAGGGTCATTTAAACAAGACTCGGGGAAGTGGTATTTGTTTTCACAAGGAGGAGACAAAGCTTTCCAGCTCCCTGAGGTTGTGCTCACATTACCCCAGCAACTCCCTCACCGACTCAAAGCTCAAAGCCCCCATGTTGGATCCCTCCCAGCGTCAAACTGCAGGCGCATTCGAGCCACAGTGGCTGTAGGAGAAGAAAAGCTCAGGTCACACAGGGCCTCATGTGGAGCAGAGCTGGCCAACGTGGAGGCCAGGAGAGCTGACTCCCAGGCTAGTGCTCTGATAGAAGCCTCGGCAGCAGGGTAACTAGTACAGACCTAGGGGTTCAAGAGTGTGCCACCTCCCACCTTGGGGTCTCAGGTCAGGCAGCACCAGCCCTCGGGGCGTCTCACCCCGCTGTCCCCAGGCACCTGTCCCACTCTGGTCATGCAAGCAGCAGGTCACACCCAGAGCTGGACAGCCACAGTCATGTGGTGGCCACTCTGTCATTGTCTCAACGACAACTGAAAAAAGAACAGCACTTGAGCTGGGGAACCGGCTTCGTTTATCTTTAGAAAGAAATGTATAAATAAGCCTGGCGCTTCAGAGCTGAGAGAGGCCCAACGGCTTAGAGCTAGCGAGAAACCGGAAAAGATCAGACCTAAGATTTCCTCACTGCCCTCCGAGAAAGAAAAAGGTTCAGACAGGCAACTCAGCTACTTTCCTGCTCTCTTAAGGAAAGGAATAAATAAAAGGCCAGGTTTGAACTGCTCTTAATTGCAAAAACCACATCTTTTCTCATCTTAAAATGCTCCTGGCACCTTGCCTTGTGGTCAGAGCTCTTCTCCACCAGCTCTTTGGGGGAGCTGTGCTGAGGCCTTCATGAACTCTGAGTTGTTCTAATTTCAGCACAGTTTGGAGACTAAGGAGCTCAGAGCTGCCTTTGGAAGCAGGAGGAGAGGCTTTCCCGGAGGGTCTGAGCTCTGGCTGTCTCTGTTTGACCTATCTGCACATTCAAGCCGTCATTTTGTCTCTGCATAGTGAAAAGGGAAAGGAAATTAAACCAATAATTACACTAATCTGGTTCCAAAGCATTCCAGGGGAAGAAGAATGGATGTGGCTGAGAGGATGGATGTAGCTGAGTGTGGCCAGTCCCCATCAGGGCATGAGCACTGGTCCACGTCCTCGTGTTGGCGGTGGCCCCCCTTGGCTCTCTCAGAGAGGGTGGTGCAGGAGCCTGGGGTTTGCACAGAACTGAGCACCCAGAGCTCCCCGGGAGTTACAAGGCAGCAATAAGTAGCTTTGCTTTTCAGCCAGCTCCAATTCTTTTGCTGGATAATGAAAAGAACAATTCACAAAAGCCATTCATATTGGTGGGGACAAATAAAAGAATGAGTGGCAAAATAATCTTCAAATAATTGGTCTCTATAAATTTAGGGACATTTCATTACTTTTGAGACCCAGTACAGGAGAGGTGGGCATTCGTCCCAGCTTGTGGATTTAAGGTTTCTGCCATCTCATTTCATCTCCTCGAAGTTACATGAGACTAGCAAGTAGGGCCACATTTGCATCCACACCTCCAGCTACAGGCCCTGCACACCCTCCTCTGTGTGTCTGAGAAGCCCCGTTCATGTGCCGGAGCCATAAATCATTTCCCTAACGCTGGCGTCAGTGCCAAAACGTCACCTGCAGTAATCGGGGACAAGAGCCTGATGGACTGCTGCATTTCTAAGTCAGAGCAAAGCTGAAGAGTGTGTATTAGCCCAAGGCTCACACAAAGAGAGTGCTGTGCTCCCCAGTGGCTTTCAGAGCAATGGGGTTATTCTCATGATGCTGTTTGCTTGGAGGATTGATTTGGCTTTGTTTTTTAACTGCCTATTAATAATTGCTTTTGGAACCAGATTTCAAACTACAGAATAAAACACTCATGTTATCTTGTAATTACATCTCGTTATTTCAGCAGACGAAACACACAGTGTAACCCACCAGACATGACCTGACTGTGTACACCAGACTTGAACATGTTCTCTCTAAAACCAGATTTGCCATTTAAGGGTAAAAGCTGTACACACTTCCCAAGAAGTTTTTTTGACATGCTTCAATGTGGAGGCATTATTCAAATTAGCTCATCTCCCACCAGAGTGACCCTTCACAATCAAGGGACACTTCCAAGATAGTTGTGTGGCTCTGGTTGATTCAGAAGCCAACCACAGTACTTTGTGGTGACCCTTGACTAGGACATCCTGTCTCCAAAACACCTCTCAAGTGATTGGAAGATGAGCAGAGCCTATGAGGAAAGAGGGTACAAGGAGACTCAGAGTCAATTATCTCTGCCAGTTTCAGCTGTGCAAGCCCTGGCGCTTTCCTTCCAAAGGAAACCCAGGGTGGCTGTGGACTCACTGAGTTCCCGGTAAACCGAAAGGGCTCAGTCAATATTGGAATGATGGTGACATTTGCCAAATGTCCCTGCCATAAAAATGTGCCAGCAGCAAACATAGATCTGGGATTCGTTCCAGTTCTGACTTCCTCAAAATGATCTTCCTCTCTGAGGAAGGGAAGGGGCGGGCAGAGGTGGGTACTATGCCCCGGGAGTCACTGACTCTGTCCTCCTTCTCTGCAGGCAGCGTTGCCGCCATCACAGTGACGGTCATTGCGGTGGTTGTGCTGGTGTTTGGAGTCGCAGCATATTTGAAGATCAGGTGAGACACGCTTTGTGAAAAAGGAGGATTTCCTTTTGAGGGGCTGCAGCCTGCGAGATGTGTGGCTGAGGGTTTGTTTCTTTTGGTCCTGAGGATTGAACGCAGGGCCTTTGCAGTAAGGCGCATTCCCACCCCCTTTTTTATTTATTACGTCAAGACAGGGTTTTACTGTGTTAGTAAAATGCCTGGGTTGGACTTACACTTGTGATCCTCCTGCCTCAGCCTCCCAGGGAACCACCGCACCAGCTGAACTTGTTTCTCTAGAGATACTGTAGGCCTGGGAGACACTGGCCAAGAGTGGATGTGACAGGTATACTCCACACTGGACAGGAGTGGCTGGTCTGAACCCAGCCAGGGCAGAGACAGGAAGTCAAATGCTGCTGGGATGGGAGGAGAATGAAGCTGGGGTCAGGACTCCAGATCCAAGGCTCCATGCTGGGATCTCCTAGTGACCTGGGAAGTCACATGCCCCAGAGCCCACATCCTTATCTGCAAGCCAGGGTGCTTGCGATCAATCGTGGTAGCTGCTGTGCATGCATACTCTGCAAACTTGCCAAGTCCTGTTAGATTTTCCCTGGTTTTGTGCAAAATGGGGAAAGTAAAGGCAGCTGTAGCTGTTCCGTAACACAAGGTTTTTCCCTGAGACAGGGCCTTGGGGTTTAAGTTTTAAGAAATCTTTTCTTCTATGAAACAGAGATGATCACAAATGGCAGCTGAAATTCTGCTCTCTGTAGCAGAACAGGAAGTCAGGAAGCTCCATAGTGGAGCAGGAAGTTAGGATGTCATCTAGAAGCCATGTGTTCTCCTGTCCTTCCCTTCTGTCCTGTCCCCATGTGAAGCTGACAGTGTCATTTTGTCTTCTCTGTGCTCCTGTCCTGTCTGCCCACAGGGAGTTCCCATCCTCCTCCCTCTTCCTTCCCTTATTTTGGTCCTTAAGGAGCACCCACAGCGTGCCCAGCAATGGCATCCAGCAGGACAGAGCCCTGGACGTCACTTCCTCCCCAACACCGCAAATAAAGGAAGTCGATTTCAGAGAGAAATTGGAACAAAAAGCCCCTCGTAACCCCACATCTGAAAACATCCAGAAGCTTCTTTCAGATTTTAAAAAATCTCACCTTCATAAGGCTGCATTTCTTTGAACACCAAGCAATTTTATAAACTGCATGTTACTAAATGGCACTCGGGAAGAATTACTAGTTTATCACTGAAGATATCTTGTACTTTAATTATGAGTTAAATTGGCTTTTATGAGCTACTTGGAGAACCTCATTCCCAATTCCAACAAAGCATCTGTTGAAAAATAGGTTCTGGGGTTCAAAAAAAAGAACTTATTGATAAATTGTAGAATCTTTCAGGAATCGCCCATGGTGAGTTTCTGAGCTATGTTACCAAAATTTTACATCCATCCTCCCCACCAGAAAAAGATACTGAACTAGCCTAAAAGATTCTTTCTCTTGACTTTAGGCCAAAATTGAAATTAACCACCTTAGACTAATTCCATGATAGGCAGGTTGTCCAGAGCAGTGCACGGAGACTTTAGCCGGAAGCAAGCCCACCCTGTCCTAGCCCTGCGACCTGGTACGACAGGTTGCGTCAGCAGCCCCACTCCCAGTGCACAGCACGGAAGATTAACATGCACCACCCCCATCAACACCCCCTTACAGTGGTAGACTGTAAGGCACTCCGGGGAAGGAACCCTGGAGAGCTGGACTGGTAGGCAGACAGGCGCTGGCATCAGTGGGTAGGCACAGTGGCCTTTGAGTGATCCCACCACCATAGTAGCCATTGCAGTTTGGTCTGAGTGCTGATTAAAATAGCACAACTTAAAATAGTGTTCTTTCGAACTCTGGTTCTCTAACACTAACATACAAGTTCCCAATCCTGAATGCAGAAGGTTTCCAATGACACAAATGTAAGGTGGCTCTCTACCTGCATGTTACTTGGCATTTGGTACTGTGAACTGAAGCTGATCCAGCCCATCTTAGAAACCCCCAAAGGAAAGCCCCTCTTTTTTTTTTCTTGCTCCTCATTTGTTCTTCTGCCAAAATGATAACAGAAGGTGGTTAATGGTTCTCATGAATCCTGAGGCTGTGCTAAAACCCCTTCAAGTGTTACTTTACCAGATTCTTGGAAAGCCCCTAGAATCATTCACCAAACAGAGTTGAATAACTGACGTGTGTGTGTGTGTGTGTGTGTGTGTGTGTGTATCTGTGTGTGTGGGGGGGGCTGGATTTCGCCTTGGCTGGAAGTTATTCTCCAGTCATCTTGGATTTCTGAGAGCAATAACAGGAGTTCTCTTGTCTGTGGCCTCGGAGCTCACTTGGCTGAAGCCCTGAAGACAGAGGTCACAGCTCATGGGTCTCATGACTCTCTGGCCTACAGCCAGAATGCAGCACCAACTAGGCCTAGTCCCCAAGAACATAGGAACAGCCTATCAGCCTTTGCTCAAACCCTACTTCCTCCAAAGACTTCCTACATGCCTGTTTGTCCACCAGTCCAGCTCTCCAGGGCTCTTTCCCAGGAGTGCCTTACAGTCTACCACTGGCCATCTGGTTTCCACACTCCTGTTCTCCAAGGGACCCAGTATGGGGGCAATGTCTCTGCCAGAGGCCCTGCATAAATCAATTACTTGAGTCACTTAGCATGTGGCTTATAGGAGGAGCAGCTCTGAGCTGCCCTCCTAGGGCCCTCTGGGGATCCTCCTGTCTTAACCAGCAGCAATCGATATGCGAGAGAACACAGCTGACTCAGTGCAGGACTGGTCTGCCCTCCTGCTGCCTAGGTGGCCTTGGAGAAATTCTCATCTGTAATTTTTTTTCCACCTGCAAAAATAGAGCTGACCACACCCTTCCTCCAAAGTCATTTAGGGGACAGTGACACAGCAAGTGCAAAGTGCCCGGCCCGATGCCAGCACCGTGCTTAAGGCATGCCTGGGGGCAATGTTTCCAGCGTTCTACCCCCTTACACTCGTTTGTTATAGCCACGCCTAACTCAAGGTTTTCACAAGCATGCATATACACTCGGTCCTGGTGTGAGGTGCAGACAATAGAAGGCCAATCGGTGTGGTCATTGCTGTCACAACTGTGCTTTGACCCTGGTGTCCATGAGAAGGCAACTGCCCACAGTGGGCAGTGAGGTTGGAGGAGCCTCCAGGGGTGCAATCAGGGATTCAAAGGAAAGGACACGGGAAAGAGGAGGAAGAGGAGGAGAAGGAGGAGGGCAAGTGTGCTCCATTCTCTAATCATGCCCTAGCTCTCCAGGTTTCCCATCCCCCACTCTTGGCAGTCCCCAAGGAGCTGCTCTGAGGTGCCTGTGAACATGCATTCATATTAGACACTCATAAACAGAAGCCATCCTGGGGAAGTCCTGATGGCAGGGCTTTTTTGTGACATTAGAACAAAGTTGAGCCTGTCTACCTCTTGCAGGAGGGTGTCTTTAATTAAGGATGAGGTCAGTAGCTCTGTTTTGTTTAAACTATTCAGCCAAGAGATGATCGCGGTGGCCAGAGACACTATCTGCTGTGGCAGGGAAGCGTGGCTGCTATAATTAGTGTGCTAGGACCCAGACAGATAGCAGGGCTGTTGTCATCACAAAAATAAACCTGACCCTGATTTACAGACACAGCAGGACCCAGCCTCCGGGCATCCTACCAGGATCACCTGTCTCGCCTGGTGTTTTACCAGGGTTGCATTGAGCAGGACTGGACTCCTCAAGCTCACTGGTGGGCTTCAGCCCCACCCAGCGAGCTCTGAGGCTGGGCAGCTGGTAGCACAGAAGGCTCAGCCAGCTCTGAAAGCTAAGAACATCTAAAATTTGTGGTCCACAGTTGGGCTTTGTGTTTCTTAGTCTTATTTTTCAGATCAGTTTGGGAGGTTCTGCAGGTCTGGTCTACTTGCTTTTTAAGCTTCATTGTGCAAGAATCTAAGGGGAAGCTTCCTAGAAACAGTTTGTTGGGTGCCCTGGGTTCTGGTCTTCTAGTCCAGGCCCTGCACCTGCATTTCTAATGGACTCCCAGGGGCTGCCAGGGCTCCTGGCCCTAGGACCACACTGGGAGTGACCGGCCACCTCCGCACTCCTGACACCTTGTGGCACACTTTGCCATGCATTGCCCTGTGCATCATGCCTGTGCCATCTCGAGCACACTGTCACGAAGTCTGGTTGTCCCTTCCTCCCCTGGCTAATACCAAGTTGTCCAGCTGAGAAGAGGCCTCCCCTTGCTGCCCTACTCCCCTGCACTCGCAAATGGTTCCATGTCCCCCACCCCACTTATCTCCTCTGCTCCCCAGACAGAGTCACCCTGCTCTCTGCCCATGTGCCCCACTGGGTCTGCCCACAGCCCCTGGCACTAGCTGACAGAGTCACTGCTGCTCTGCAGACACGCTTTGGATGACAGAAGAGTGAGGACCCCAGAGCTGGGGTGAAACAGTGATTCTACTTATTGATGTCCCATGAGGGAGAACTGGTTTGGGGAGGTAGCCACGGCCTTCATTGGCCACACAGACCCTGCGGTGGCCCTGGGCTGGCTTGCCAAGGACAAGTGCGCCCAGCATGGCCCTCAGTGGTGAGTTGTCTGTGAGTCTGCAGACAGTGGTGACAAATACACTGAATGCCTGTATCTGCTCTTCAAAGGAAAGATGACTATTTAAAGATACGCATGATAGCAGTCGCCTTCTGGGGCTTTTAAAAAGCCCAAACAATGAGAAGAGAATTTTGCAGATGATGTTTGGAAATCTGTCACTCACGGGGGTTTTGATGAACAGCGCAGGTGCAGCCAACTGGCCCTGAATTCTGATTCTCAGCCACTCGCTCACTGCAGTCACTGAGGGCAAATACGTGGACCTCTCATGCCTGAGTCCTCCAAGCCTCCAAACCACAGCTCTCAGTGTAAACTCCTCAGTGTTGAACAAGACACTAGCATTCAACAGAGCTGTAGGAAGGGTATGCAGGAGCTTTTCACTGTGTTTCCCAACTTTTCTGTCATTCTAAAATCATCATTCCAGTATGAAAGGCTTGCTTTTAAAAACAGTGGGCCTGTAGCTCCCACACCATGCACCACCTGCTCCTGCAGAGGATCCTTTGTTCACACTGCCCTGTCTGCAGGCTGCCTCTCAGGTCCCTCAGGCTCCTGCCACGGCCCTATAGCTCTGCTCACCATCCCCACCTCCCAGCCAGAATTGCTGGCGTCCACATCCTGCTTGCTGCTGTCACCTTGTGGTGAGTTCTGACTTGTGTCATGTCCACTCGCCCAGCTTGTCGGCCTCCTGCCCCCTGGGACTTGGTCTGCTCCACTGGCTGAGGCTTCCCCAGGTCCCAGCTAGGATCTTTAGACGGTAGTTGCCAAGGAATCAATCATCACATAGAAGGGGTCAGGAGGGGAAAGGGCAGTCAGGGGGAAAGAGCCACCAATGGAAACAAAAAGGGCATAGGGACCACTTCCCTAAGGGTCTGGCACTGACTTTAGTGGCAGAGGAGCTGCGCCTGCAGCTGTGTCCCCAGTGCTGACCTGGGTCTCAGCCACCGTGTCCCCTGCTGCTTCGCCCAGGGTAGACACTGATGATCAAAAGGCAGGACACACTAGATGCAAGAGGAGCAGGGTCTAGGGTGTCCTCCAGACTGGGCAGGGGACATGGGGACTGGCACTGACCTTTCTAAAAGGGCTTTTGTTTCAACACCAGGAAAGCAGACACTTCAGGCATTTTCAAGGACAACTGGGTGTTAATACTGTAGTTACCTTAAAATAGGTGTCACTCTGCGGTGGCAAGGAAGGCTTCACACAGGTGCCACCAGACTCACCCGATGTCACCAAGCAGGTGTCACCAACACGGGAAGGTGATGAGGTGGCATGGGAAGTGAAGTGACACTTTCATTGCTTGTGGCACTGGGGACTGAAGCCAGGGTCTCTATTTGAGAAAAGCTGATGGGGAAGCAAGCGGCCGGGAACAGCTGGGAAGGCAGCGCACCTTCCCCTGCTCTCTGGGCTTCCGCCTTTAGTTTGTGAACCACACAGGGCAGGGCAGGAGGGGTTGGGGGGCACAGGGCCAAACTTGTGGTGCCGCTGAGTAAGGGAGGGTAGGGCAGCCATGCTACCACAGAGCAGGTTTCCTCCTCTTCCTGGGTCTCTCCCCTTCCTGGCTCTGGCATCTAAGGAGAGGCTTAGACCTCTGGCATGCCTTCATGTGGTCTTTTCACTGTGCTGCGGGTGGGTTCTGCCATAACTGACTGGCCTGCGACATCCCTACCAACACTGAGCCAGAGCTGCCAGGTGCGTCCTTATGATGCGATACAAGCAGCTTCACCCCCGGGCGGGGGGGGGGGGGTGAGGGGTGGGGGGGGTTGGTAGGGTGGGAATGCAAGCAGCTCCACCCTGGGGGGGGGTAAAGTGACACCACACCCACAGCATAGTTGTGCCCTCCTCCCCCGCAGCTCATTGTCAGAGAGGAGCCTGGGCACCTCGAATAGAAAACCCTAGAATTATGGAACTAGAATTATGTGATAGAGACAAAAATGGCTGGAAAAGTTAAATTGCCTCACAGAGGTGGGGAAGGGTTCTGTCTACTCCAGAAGAGGCATAGTTATTAAGTAGATGTCGGCCCGATCTGTACCTGGAAGTCATGCTGTGTTCAGGGCAGGCTGCAGGGTTGACATGGCCAGGATTTTATACATCCATTCTGCAGCTCAGCCATCCCGCTACAGGAATTGTTTGGCATTGGGAATCGAGCTGGGGGATCCTGGGCCGTAGGATGTTGGTGACTTTGGTGACCACAGTGACTGCCCTGCCCCTGCAGATTGAAGAAGCAGCTGCCCATGTGCCTGGGCTGTCCACAGAGGCCCTGTGCTTTCTATACCTGCAAAAATGAGCAGGCCCCTCTCCGAGTGCGGAGATTGGCTCTTCGGAGTCAGCTTCCAGGATATAAATCAGAATTCCCAGTTGCAGAGTTTGAAAGGAGACCCAGGAGGGGCACTTTGCAAATATTGTCTCTGCCAACACCTGGCTGATATAATAAGGTTCACAAGAGCAAGGGCAATTATTTTAGCAATAGATACAAGTATAAGCAGCGCATTTGTTGTGTCTTGAGAACAGGTTAGGGCAGTAAGCATGTTTCTCTGCAGTGTACCTAGCTAGCACACATGACTTGCAGGGGAAAGATACAATTATTTACATCTAGCATGAACCTCAGAGGTGCCAGATACTCGTTTTGCCATATTCCTCCAAGCCTGCCACTAATTATGGTCTTGAAACGTCTGGTCCCTCCCCAGGGAGCTCCCACCTTGTAGACTAATTCAATTTGGGGGGAATTCAGGTCATATGCTTTTCAATCACTATTTCTTCTACAAACACTTACTGGAGACTTTCTGTGTGTTAGATATTCTCTTAGGTGCCACAATAGAGCCAATAATCAACAGACAGGGCAAATAGTCAACACTGGAGCATTGCCTGATCAGGGAAGAGGCAATTGCAAAGCAAATACACACAGTGTACAGTGTACTAGAAGATAACCAGGTCCAGAAATGGGATGTGCAAAGGCCCTGGGGCAAAGGTGTGTCTATAGGCCTGGGAAGGACAAAAAAGAGCCCTTTAATTGCAGCGATTTGCTCAGAAAAGTATCCAGGCCAGATGCTCTGAGGCTTTCCAAGCCACTGTAATGACTTCAGCTTTCACTGTGTATGAAATGGGAAGAGATCAGAGACTGACTGGGGGAGAAATGGCCATCAGACTTGGGGTTTCTGATAGGAATAAGAAGCAGATGGCTAATCCTGTGAACGTCCCTAAGGTGCTTTTTAGACCTTGAGGATCATAACTGTGAGCCCTGAGTTTAGACCCAGCAGGCAGGGATTGGACACTCACCGCCAAACCAGGGTGACCATGGACGTATCCACTGATGTCTCCCCATGCTCCTCTCCAGAAAGCAAGTTACACTGTGCCCACTGTGTCCTCTCTGTGGGCTTTGTCATGAGACTGACCACAGGTTGAGTATGGAAGCCTTTGCACATTATACAACTCAACCCCAATGCCAAGAGGCAGAGAGGGCACCAATGACACTTTGGGGGACATTAATCCTCATGACAGGGACGCTGCCTCTGTGTCCATCCTTCTCCCTGGACAGCCATGGAAATTCCCCCTACCCAGTCCTCCTGCTCTAGAGGAGGAAGAGGGAGGGCAGGGACCCTGGCAATGTCCCCAGAAAGTGCCCATCCAGCCCAGGTGGGGCGTCCATGACTTTGGGTGCTGAGAGTGGTCCCCATCTTGAGGGTTGGTGGACCAGGCCTCAGGGCTATCTCCATGGGACAGCCTGCCTGCATCTCAAGGGCCCGCCAGCCCCCAGGTTCAGGCCATGTGGGGTGGGCTGGGCTCAGGCGGCTGCTGCTTGTGACCCACCTGTGTCTCCTTCCCCCCAGGCACTCCTCTTATGGAAGGCTGCTGGATGACCACGACTACGGGTCCTGGGGAAACTACAACAACCCCCTGTATGATGACTCCTAACATGAAGGTGGCCTGGCGTGAGGAAGAGCTGCTCCTTATTTATAAGAGCTTTCTCAGTAGAATTAATATCAAGTACCTGATGCGTACTGAAGGACAATCTTAAGACCTGTTCCTTGGTTTGGTTGTTATCATTTTCCTCTCCTCTGGCTGCCACAATATCCCCATTTTGGCACAAAAGAATCCTGATTTTCGGATGAAAGGGGTCGGATTGGCACGGAGGGGTGCAGACCTCCCTAGTGGAGGCCCCCAGCACCCTCCCAGACCCACCATGACAAGGACTGGGGAGCATACCTGGGGGTTTTGTTGGGGGTTCATCTTAGGGAAACTTTCTTGGTTCTTAAACTTCTGTGTAGGAAATTACATTAGGATCAGCGGAGAGCGGGGAGCTGAGTCCCAGGAAGCTCCCCTCCTGCAGGGAGGATGCGGGCTTGCTCAGATTCCCCACATTGTATGTGACTGGAGCCTGCCCAGCCCTACGGCCCACAGCTGCTTTTCCACTGCCCAATTAATGACCTGCACACAGGCCCGCAGAGGCAGCAGCCGGGGCAGAGCAACCGGTGGTTCTCAGGTGTCCACCTGCCTGTACCTGTTCTCCCTGCCGGGCCTCTCAGATGCAAGTAGGATTCCTCCCCACAGGCTTCCCGAGAGGGGATGCACTCGGTGTCCCAGAGGAGGGACAGGCATGGGAGGAAAGAGCTGAGGCACCTGAGTCCTTCTTGGGGAGCAGATCAGCTGCCTGGAGGAGCCCAAGCAACTTGGTTTACACCCAGAGCACAACTGATTCACTGTCTCACTGCCCGTCGGGGAATGCTTGTAACCTTGTTAAAAAATGAAGAGGAGGCACAAGTTTATCTGCATTTCGGCAAGAAACAGGCCCCACACATGGTCCATTCACTCCGCACGCCTTCCTTGCTCATTCTCCCCTTTAATAAGGGAGCGCCCTGGGAACTGCCACTAAAATCTCGCACAAGTCCTGAGCAATCACTGTACCTTTGAGGGCATTCATGCATCTCAGTCACTCCCAACTGGGGTTGAATTTGCCACACACCAAGGACAGCTGAAAACATTTGGTGGGACTGTTGATGGCCACGAGTTGGGATACCACGAGTGGGTAGAGGCCTGGACTCTGCTACACACCCTCCTGGGCCTGCGACCGTACCTGGTACCAGGCATTCTACAGCCCAAAGCCTCAGAAGTGCTGAGACTAAGAACCCCAATTCACTGCAGGGCTCACAGCAGAACAAGACACTCCCAGGTCAGGCACCTCTTTTACTTTTAACCAAAAGAAGCGATGTGTTAAGTTTCTGTCTTAGTTGGCAGGCAGAGGCCCGTCCACCTGAGGGACCCGGCATGCATGGGTACTCCTTCGAGCCTGCATGCTTCTGAAGGACTATTTCAGGACCCCACCTGTGACCAACGCTGTATTAGCAGCCAGCATCTCACATCCTGATTTCACCGAGCAGAAAACATGTGTCACAAGAACATGAAACCACTTCAGTCTAGATGCCTGGACAAGGCTTTGCCCTATGGCTCCAATTTGGGAATGACCCTGGCGTCAGAAACCAGGAACAGTGCCCCTCCCCACAACCTGTGCCCCACCCTGTGAGAATGAGTTTTCCTCAGCCCCTAGGGTCCAAGGGGAATTTGTCAGAGGTCCCCACAGCCAGAAGAAGAGCAGACAGGAATCAGGGTGTCTCTATTTTTTTTTTTTTTTTGTCTTTTTCGTTTTTATCGGTACCAGGGATCGAACTCACGACTGCCTGCTTGCAAGGCAGGTGCTTATGCCGCTGAGCTAAATCCCCAGCCCCTAATCAGGGTGTCTCTAAATTCAACTTGGCATGGGCCATCCTGAAAGAGCAGGCCCAGGTGCACCCTTGCTATTCTGGGCTTGGAGAACTGTCTCTCCCCGCTTATCCCATTCTTCATAGGGCTTTTCAGCCACCAAGCGACAAGTCAATAAAGTTATGACCTTCCATGAGGCTTTGTCCTCCGCTCTCAGCCCAAAACATCTGGACACAATGACCAGGGGGTTACCTTTGGGGAAGGCCACCTCAGGACATTGCCTGAGGACAGTCTCACCCAGGACCCCAGCCTGCTGAGAGCCCCAGTGTACCCAATGCCTTTCCTTTCCAGAGACTGCCATGGGGACAGTGCAGGGCTGGTTTGTCACTCTACTTCACTTCCAAGGCTAGTGGCACCTCCCTGGGGTGTGTGGTAAGACGAGGGCCTTCCATGAAAAGTCAGAGGCCCCTGTCAGGCTGGTTAGTATCAGATACTTATGATGCAGCCTTATTTTGCCAGATGTATTTTTTCAGCTTTGGAATTGGCCAACAGATTTTAGCAAGTGTATTCTGAAAATGGTCCTTGAAAGACACACATGTGCATGCACACACACACACACACACACACACACACACACACACACCCCTGAAATAGATGCCAACAACTAATATCCTTCCCACCAAGCAGAGCCTGCCCATTCACCTGAGGGACGTGGCAGTAGCTCCAGCAGCCACACCCACCTGGGCAGGGTGCGAGCGCAGGAGGGAAGCCAGCAGCTCCGCTCTGGCCACCACACAGAAGCACAAAGTGGGAGTCAGCTGGGCCCCCGCAGAGGTCCCCTCCCTGTCCCTCCCCCTGTGTCTGCATTTTGGAGGAGGGGCAATGCTATCACTGACTGTGCCCACACACATACACAGCACGGACATGCTGTGAAGACTCATGAAATCATGCCTATGTTTCCACTTTCTGGAGAGACACACTTATAGACACTTGAAGTATTGCAGTGGTTCACAAATGATCTCAGTTTCTTGTTTGCGGTGATACTTAGGTGTTGTCTTATTCTGTAAAACTCCAGTTGTGTCCTGGTCACATGCGACAGCTGTGATTGCTCGGAACCACCCCAGGGAAGCAGATCGGTGCCTAGGGTCCCAGAGGGCAGTGTCAATCTTCTGATGAAAGGACAGATGGTGAGTTGGGACACAGGAGGCCAGGATGACACAGCAGAGAGCACTGGCCTTCACCACCCTGAGGTCCTCTGGATTCCTTGTGCAGTTGACTGTGGTCTGGTGTCACCAGTTTGCTCTTCATCTTGCTTGCAGGGCTGCATGGTTCTATCCCTTGCATCTGGGAAATGAATTTTGCAATCAGGCCCAATGCTAATTTGCACGTTGATTCACCTTCTTTGCCTTTAACCTTTTTGAAGGGCAAATAAATGCACCATTTCAACTCAGGTGTCAGAGGCACCAGAAGATACTGGTAATAGCGCTAAGCAAGAGCTCCTTGCCAGGTTCCTTTCTTAGGGGAAGTTAGTTGACATTATGGAAAGAGGGAAGACAGGCAACTTCTCTGATATGTGACGTCATTGTGTCTGTCATTGTAAGACATGTTGCATATCAGCTATAATTGTACCAATTAAAGTTATTAAAGGCTGTGTGTCTGGCTGTCATGATTCTCACATTGGTGTGTTTTGTTATTTAAGCCATTCGGTTTAATGAACCCCTCTTGTTAAGTAACTCTGACTTGCTCTTAAGGAAAATTTATATCACATCAATAAATTATATTTTTCTGCAGGGCAAGAAAGTCTCTCTGATCTTGAAACAGAATGGAAGGATGCCAGGACTGAAGAAATTTCCCAGCAATGACTTTGCTCTCAAATATTCTGCATGCCTTACGAAGCAGATGGAGGAGCAAACACTTTGATTTAATGAATTAGGTCCACAATTGAGACTCACTAAGGCATGTTGGCGTCAGCAGTACCTGTGATGCTTGCTCTACTCCCCTTCAAAACAATTAAGTTCGGCATATCCATCTTTAGCTGACAGCTAAGTAGCAGGCAGCTTCACGCATTCCAAACAGAATTTCAACCCCTACAAGCTAACAAAATACTATGCTGGTTTACAAGAAAATAGCGAGGGCAAATGTCATCATTTTACTCCATGGGAGGAAGGGGCCCCTGCAAGCCAGAATCGGTTGATCTGAGGGTGGCTGTGAACTTAGGTCAGATTTGAAAAGTTAATTCCCTGGCCTATGACACAGCACCAAGCTCTGACTGGAAAAGACAAGGCAGAAAGTGAAGACAAAGCAAAACAGGAACCTCTCCATGGATCACCTGGTGCTGAGGACTTCGTGTCTCTCCAAGACCTGTGTGTGGTAGTGGTAGAACTCTTGGGGGAACTTGGATCACAGGGGAACAAGGCCATGGCCTTGAAGGGCATCCTGGGATCCAACCTCTTCTCTTTTCCTCTCTGTGCTCTGGGCTACCCCAAGGCAAGTCACTGCCTCTGCTAACCCACTGCATTCCCCAGGCCCAAGAGCAAGTATCAACCAGTCATAACAGAACCTTCTGAAACTGTGAGCTAGAGAAACTTCTTCACTCCTTATAAGTAGTCTTGGGTATTTTGTTACAGTGACAGAAAGCTGACTAACATATTTTGTTATTTCTTGAGGATTTGTTATGGGCACAAAAGCAACTAAAGATCCTTTCTTCCCAGGTTTCCTTAATGGAATTGGCTAGGAAACTCTTTAAATGTGCACAGGAAAAAAAAAAAAAAAACTTCATAAGAATGAGTAATATAACTAGGTATGGTGGCAGACACCTGAGATTTCAGGATGCTTGGAGACCAACACAGCAAGGTCACAAGTTAAAGCCCAGTTAATGACTTAGAAAGTCTCTATCTGAAGATACCAAATAAATAAATAAAAGGGGAAGGGATGGAGATGCAGCTCAGTGCAAAGATCTTCAGTTCAATCCCCAGACCACAAAAATTAAATAAAATACATAGGTACATATAAATGTGTATGCCAGAGAAGTCAACACACTATAAAGTCTTGGGTCAGAATCAACATTTTTCCTATATAGTAGCTTTTTAACTTCAGACCATAATCTGTATCAAGCATTTAATAACCTATCTGCAATCTTTTACTTTCCTAAAGTTCAATATGACTCAAAATAGCTGGCAAGCATTTCTTGCCTGTGTTAAAAAGCAGGCATCAGGAGTAACTCGGAGGCCCCAATCGTGCTGGAGGACGATTCCAGCAAAGGAATCACACAGCCAGAGACAAGGAATGTGTACTTGTGTGCAGAGCAGTGCGAGCACCGTCCCGTGAGGCTCTCATCTTTGGGACACTCAGGACATACGTGCTTTCTGTACCAACGCACAATTCCCCCACTGAGTGACAGATGGGTTGGTTATCTCAAGCCCCACCTCTGCCTGGACACATGCTCTCTCAGGTATGGTTGCCTTGGTCCTGTCACCCTAAAGCTGTCACTGGGCCTGCATAACTTTCTGTGGATGGTGATGCCAATCCTCACAGAGCACTCGCCATGAGCAAGATACAGTGTTCTGCACTCCGGGAGGCTTGCAATCCCTACAGTAAGGCTTAGTCACAACCCAGGACTATGGGCTGGGGAGCCCAGACCCTACTACCAACCGGGTCCTCCCAGGGGAAGGTCCTGGTGTGGTCATGCAGAGCAGCACGACAGTACCTGAGCAGCAGTGCAAGCTGTCACAGTGATTGGGCTCCTCCCACAGGGGCAGGGCCTGGAACTGACAGCCTGGCAGACTCAGCAGCCCCAGGTTCATGGGGTGAGGCTATTTTTATGCCCTGGAGACAACTGAAGCTGGGGTGATGGAGAATCGAGGCTTATTTGGCTCCCAGTTCTGGAGAAATAGTGTAAAGGGCTATATCTGGTGACAGTCTCTTACTGACAGAGTCCAGAGCAGCAAGAGAATCACGCAGCCAGAGACAAAGAGTGGTGTATGTGTGTGCTCATGTGTGCATGTGATCCCTCCTGATAATGCCACCGGTGTTCCAGCCTGGGACTTCATCATGACCTCGTTTAATCCTAGTCACTTCCCCACGGCCCTGCTCTAAACTCTGTGGACAGCTTTATTCTCCACCGTTGATGTGTCTTGCAGTGGGACTAACAGTACTGGATGGTGTAGTTTGGGTCTCAAATGTCCCCAGGGCCCAGGGTGGCACCCCCAAGAAGCAGTGGAAGGCATCCAAGTCATGGGGACCCCAGTCCCTCTTCCTCTCCTCCCCACTTGACCATGATATGATCTGTGTGCTCTGTCCTGCACACTTGCCATGCAAGACGTGTGACCTCTCCACAGGGGCCACATATGGGCAGGGTAAACCTTCACCCTTAGAAGGCAATGATTCCAGGAATTTCATGGCAATAATTGGAAACCAGCCAACATAGAGGGATACCCAGCAACCCCCATTCAGTCCCCTTCAAGTCCCATCCTTGGCTGGACACTGCAACCCAAATCTCCAGGTCCCCAGCACTGCATCCCAGAGTCTCCAGGCTCACTCATCTCATACGAGGTCCACAGAGCAGTTGTCAGGACACTGCCCACACCAGTCTTGTCCCCTGTTGAGCATGTCCCCCTGGGCACATGCACAAAATTCACAGCAGCAGCACACACTAGGCAGAGCTCTGGAAGTCAGGTCGGTCACAACCAGGTGAGGCCAAGAGGGGTGAAAGATGAGAGGGTAGGAGACACGGAGGAAGAGCACCCTGCACACTGCACGTGCTCCTGGGAAGCACAGTGACATTTCAGGACAGACAGAAGCATCCCATATGGGCCACAGACTGAGAAGAGCAGGTGGAGGAAGGCTGGGGCAGTCCCTGCAGGTTCCATGGTTTCAGAGAAGTGGCCACAGTCTCAGGCTGCAACAGTGAAGCCTGTGTTTCTTGGGAGCTCCCAGGAGGCCACAGCTGTCCGCACACCTGGGATGGCACCTTCTGGAAAAGCCAGGCTTTGCCTTTTTCACTTTCTCATCTCATTTGTGAAACTCTTCAAGAGGAACTCTGGCCACAGCCACACAGCAAGGGGGCATGGGCCCAGGAAATGCTGTTTCTGACTTGTCCTCTGCATTGAAGAGGAAGCTAAGAGAGGATGATAGTGCCACTGCCTTAAAAACAAACCATCACAGTCCACCTCTTAGCCTGGATTAGAACTTCCCAAAAGCTGGTCAGAGTGGCAGGGTCCCCATCAAGATGCACTCATCCCTCCATAGCCAGGGGCGCATGACCTTCTCCTTGAAATGAAAAAACATTCCCCCAGTTGTGCCTCTCCCAGCTCAGATGAGTTTTCCTTTGGTGACACATGACAGGGTCAGCACTTTAGCTTGCCTGACAGTGATTGGTGAGGGAGAACACAAAAAGGGCTGGTCAGCACACACATGCTCACACACATGGACACATACATGCAAAGAAACAAAGAAAAGAACAGTGACCTAAATGTCTTCAGCTATGAGACAAATTTCTCATCTACCACCATTGCAGGTCCTTCCTGTCCCTGGTCAACATCTCACCAGACTCTGATGCTTTTTGTGGCAGTGACTCAAACCTTCTATCAAACACAAGCAAAATCTGAGGCCAGAGAGGAGAAAAGCAGCTACTGAGCAAAAACACAGAACAGACAAATGAGTAACAGAAAAGGAGAACAAAGAAAAAAGGGGGAGAGGCCAGATCCCATGGAGCATGAGAGGCCAAGAACTCTTCCCTGCTGTTCTCTTTCTGCCCTCCCCAGCCCACCTCACCCTTCTTCACCAGAAACAAAACAGAGAAGGAAGGGGTTCAAAGGCGCTCTCCACACTCAGTCTTCTACGTGAGGGGCTCTGGCCACTCTACAACCCCTCACTCTCATGCACCCACCCAAGTCCCCAGGTCCCCATCTCACTTCAGCCTCCAATGAGAACTGTGCATGCTTCAGAAAGCCAGGCCTGGATATAGAAGATGGGAGGGAAGAAGAGAGGAGAAAGAGAGAAAGAAAAGAGACTTTCTAGGAAGGGCAGAGGGAGTGAGAGCGGGATTTCCTTCAGTGTATTCGATTCCAGTTTAGAAGCCCCACTGAAGCTCTCCTCACCTGCCACCACACCCAAGTCCAATTCCTTCCCCTCCCAGGAGGTCCAGGCTGCCAGGCTGAGCTGAGCGCTGGAAAAGCAGGCAGCTGTGAGGGAGCATGGAGAAGTACGCTGACCTTTCCAGGATGGATAATCCCCCATGGCAATGAGTCCCAGGTCTTGGGGCTCAGGGATGTCTAGTGGGTCATCTCCTACCCTACTTAGCCAGGTCCTACTCAGGGACACAGGTCTGAAGCTTTCCATGTCCCAATTCCTGGAATAAACTGGCTTTTCTCCTCCAAAGCCTCTTCCCTTCCACTGAGAGTGTATGGGCTGGATTTCATGTGTCTTCCATTGGTCTGCTTCACTTTGTCAATCCAAGGTCAGTAACTCCTTGCTTTTCCTAGGCACTAACCTGGTAGACATTCCAGAAGGCTGGCAGGCGATGTCTGGTTAAAAAGAAAAGGCACAGTCATTTCCTCCTGGTTTCCTGCTGTCCTAGAAACTAAGGCAGATGGTTCCTTGGGAAGCCATAGGTCCTGATCTGGCCATAGTCAAAACCATTAGCAAGGAGAACGAGTCACCTGGAAATGCTCACAC